CCTCCCCCCCCGCCCCCCCCCCCTCATCCCCGTTGGCCTCATGGACCTGGAAGCGCGCGCAGGCCGAGGCCGAGGCCGCCCTCGCCGCCATGGGCGGTGTGGCGGCCGCCACGCCCGCGGCGGGCTTCGGCCGCCGCGGCCTGGGCTTCGCGCCGCCCTCGCGGGCGCCGCGGCCCCCGCGGGCGCCGCCAGGGGCCATCGGGGCGCCGCCCGCCGCGGCCGCGGCGGCGCCCGCGGCCGCGCTGGCGGCGCCGCCGCGGTCGTTCGCGGCCATGCCGGGTGTTGCCAGGGGCGTCCCCTGGGCGGTGCGCTCAAGGGGGCAGGTGGAGGGGGGACAAGCTTTCAAGCAGGCCTAAGCGCTGTTTTGCTGGACTATAGCTGTGTTTTTTTGTTTCGTTTTGGGAGGTAGGTAGTGGAAAACAGGTGGAGCAAAACGAACAACATAACGAAAAGCACAGCGGAACCAAAACGTTTAGGTCCAGCCCTGAAGGAGGCCGCTTCTTAGCACGCGCCGGCCCTGCATCCACCGAGAAGGCCCGCGCCTTCCAAGAAGCAGGGGCGCTTCTAAGACACCTTCCCCCCTCCCCCTCCCCCCCCTTTGCGCGTGTCCGATCCCTGCCCCCGTGGAGATCCTGGCGCTGCATTTTTTCGCGCTTGGCGTTGTCGCCTGGGCTGTCGGGCCCGGGGGTCATCACGGATCGATCTGGATCGGAGAATGCCGCAGGAAGATCGGGTTGTGTTTTTCCCAAGCCTCCCTTGCCTAGGTTCTCGTTTTGAATAGAGCAGTGGGGTCGCCAACTCCCTCCTCCCCCCCCCGCTCTCCTCTCGGCTCTCTCCTCTCGCATTCCTCTTTGGAGCCTGTCTGCGCTTGCCTGCTGGGGAAGCCAGCTCTGTCCCCTTTTCGCAGGACCTCGCCATCCCTGGGGGGCTGCGAAGTGTGAAACCGTCGCCACCTTCGAGGGCTGCTGGGGGGGCCAGCACAGTGGGGTCCCACGCAGACCCAATCGGGACCTCGCCATCCCTGGGGGCGCTGCGAAGTGTATGATTGTCGCCAATTTCGGGGGCTGCTGGGGGGGCAGCACAGTGGTGTCCCACGCAGATCCCAAAAAGACCTCGCCATCATCTCGCTGCTTCTGCCGAGGTGACTGTCTTTTCCACCCATGTCTTCCTTTTGCTTCTCCTTCCCGGTACAATGTCTCCTGGTCTTTCGTACCTCCATTCTGCGAGTCGGCCTCGCACATTTCGCACGACGTAGATATCCGCCGTGCTGTCACATTATTGTTTGCACATCTTATCTCATCCCTTGGTGCCGATGGGCTGGGTACGTCGCAGGGTATTTTTTTTTCGCGATGTTGCAACTCCAGACTCTTCGCGCAACCCCACCAGCTTAATCGTGCATGTGCGCGCTCCTGGACCTGGTCCCTGGCAGCTGCAGCCCGCACCCCCCCTCACGCCGGCCCGCCCGCTTAGGTGCTGCTTAGGTCGCCGGCCCGTCGGCGTTAGGCAATTAGGCTCTTGCGCGGCCCGCTCGGACCTTACTTGCCGCTGGCGCTCTCGCCTGCGGTTGCGACGCAAAAAAAAACCCACCAGCAAATCTAGAAACGAAGCCCAGGCGAGTGAATAGAGGCTGGGCAACCGTCCTACCCTAAGAGGGGGAGGAAGGAGGACGAAACAGCGGAGGAGGAGGAGGAGGAGGGGGAGGAGGAGGAGGAGTGAGGTGGAGGAGGAGGTGGCGGAGGATGGGAGGATGGGGTTGATAGATCGGGCCGGATCGGCCGTCTGCGGGGGCGCCCGTCCAGGGGCAAACAGCCAGTGATATTGCAGCAGTAATTAGCACCGCAGCCCACGGGGGGAGGAGGGATGAGGCAGGAGGCATGAGGAGGACTAGGTGGATGAGGACGAGGAAGAAGAGGGCGAGCAGAAAGGCCAGAGGCCTCTTGGATACCTCTCGGAGTCTTTTCCGGATGTCTCGTGAGGGCTTCTTGTAGGCCTGTTTTGGGCGTCTTTTAGGTCTTTTGGCGGTCCCGGGCACGCCATGCGCACTGGCATCTGCAGGCCGCAGGAGCGGCCGCGAGCGTGGTCCCCAATAGACCCCCAAGAGGCCCCAAGCCTTGACGCCTCGGCCCGAGCGTGCCAGGCACGCCTGGTGCCCCAGATGCGCCACGTCTTCCGAGTGCGCCAGGTGTACCGCACACTCCAGCCGAGCCAGGTGCGCCACGTTCGGGGCACGTGCAGAGTGCGTCAGGTGCAGCTGCGCACGTGACAGCACACATCGGGAAACATGTCGGCCCCCATCATGCTTGTCGAAAACCAGTGCCCATCATTTTGTTTGGTAGGCCTGCGCGCAGCAGGCCACGCGCCCCCACCCCCGCGGTCCCTGTCAAAAACCATTTGACAGTGATCGCGGGATGGCCGCGTATGATCCAGATTTAGCCGCGGGGTGCATGGCGTATTGTTTTTTTGTCAGGGATGGTACCCCTGCGCGTAGCAGGGGGTATGCTGACCCCCCCACCGTCTCTGTCAAAAACAATACAAAGTGCTCGCGGGCCTCACGAACATGACTCAAGACTTTGCCCCGAAGTGTACTTTGTATTGTTTTTGACAGGGATGGTGTGTGGGGGGGGGCGCATCGGGTTGGCCGCGCATGCTCCAAATGTGGAGGCAGAGTGCGGTTTGTATTGTTTTTTGACGGACGGTGGGGGGCGGGTCGTCGTGTTGTCCTCATGGTTCCTGGTTGGACGCCAGTCGCCTGGGTGAGGGGGTGTATATTAATAAGGAACAGTGATGAACACTCCCCGAAGGGGAAGAGGGAAGATGGAAGAGGAAACGCTCTAGACCACTCACGCCCCAAGGGCTTGTACTCGTGACGTTGGATTCCAGACCAGCCCAAATATCAGAGGCTCTGTTTTTTTCGATATCTGCGTTCTGCCTCGATTTGAGCCTGCGGGTCCCTGTGTCGGGCTCCTAGGTCCATCCAAAAACAGTTCGGGGACGCAGAACCACCCCCACGGAAGGGATCGGAAGTTTAGGGCCTGCGGAGTGAAAAAAAACACAGTTCGGAGGTTGCCGCAAGGTGCAGCAGCGTGTCCAAATCCACCGCTTCGGTCGAGGTCGTACCCCCCGGGGTCTCGGGGAGCGGTAGGTACGGGTATATGCCCGACCGCCCGTCCGTGCTCACCGCTCCCCGCGTCTCCGAGGCACGGGCTCCCCGCGGCAGTGAACAGGGGCATGCTCTGGCGGCGCGAGAGGGTGCCCCCGGGACTACCAGCGGCCTCCGAGGCCCGCGGGCGCCGGGGGCGGGGGGGCTCCAAGATGGGGCGGAGAGCGGGGGACACCCTGCCCAGACATCCGATGTCTTGAGTCTCTCGATGCGGGGTCTCCGATCACCGAGCTTCTCGAGACGTGGGGAGGCCTGGTCATGCCATGGGGTCCCATGCCCAGGCATCTGGCGACGCGGCTCTTTCCATGCGCGGCCCCAGATGTGGTCCCAGCCTCCCGTCCTCGGGGCCGGTGTTTCGCCCCGGAACGTTTTTTTTCGACTGTCCCGGGCCCCGATGGCGGTCCCTGGAGGCCAGAATCTAAGAACAGCTCGGGCGTTGCGTAATGGGGGTGCGATAAGTTATTGGCCTGTTTTCCACCGCCACCGCCATAAGTTGGAGGGGGAAAGGAGGCGGAGGAGGAGGAGAAGGAGGAGGAGGAGGAGGAGGAGGCGGAGGAGGAGGAGGAGGAGGAGGAGGAGGAGGACCCCCCCCTCCAACTGATGGTGATGGTGATGGAAAACACGCCCATCAATAAGCGGGGGGGTGCGAAGAAGCGTGCACCCTGTTGCTCTGACGCGGCCCGAAGGGCCCCCCTGGGGTCCCAGAGGGGCACGCAGGGTGCACGCCTCTTCGCCCCTGCACTTCACCACCCACCAAACCACCCCAACCCAACCCGAAGGCCCCAATTTGCCCTCGATTTCCAGTGTGGGGGGGTCGGGGAACATTGAAAAAACACATGGAACCCGTATCCCCCCCCAACCTGAAATTCGGGTCAAATTCGGGTCTTCGGGTTGGGTTGGGGTGGTCTGGTAGGTTGTCACCATTGATCTCCCCCCCATCCAGCAGCGCCCCCCGAACAGCCGCCTTGCCATAGTGTTATACCGTGTGAGATCTGGAGATAACCCAGGCCAGGGGCACCTCTGGCAACCCCCGAGCCGTCGGGGCCCCGGCCGCGTGGCAGCAGGAGCATGGGCAATGCTAGGGGGGGGGATGCATCGACCCCAAATCGCCCACTGATCGTGGACAGGGGCCTGATAGTCCACCCCGCTCCGGACCGTGCGGATTCGCTATCGAGGGCCTATCGCCGGTCCATCGCGGTGCATCGCCGATTCAAGCTTGATGTTCCTACCCTGAGATCCGACGTTGCGAAAACATGCGGCATCGCGAGAAATCTCGGCCAGAGCCCTAGATCCCATCTTTCGGCTGCGTGTGTCGAGCTGGATCGATGCATGATGGCCCTGGGGCCCGGACACCTCTGCGCGAATGCCTGGTGTAAGCGAATTTCATCGCCTGGATTTCAGGGCCCTGAGCTGATCCGCCCTTCACGGCCCCCTGAGCCAGTCGGTTCCTTTTGTGGTTTTCGCGTAATAACCAGGCTCTCCAGCGGCCGTTCGGGACGATCCGGAAATCCTCGGAACGCTCTTGTTGGCGAAGCGCAGCCGCTGGACCCGAGGCTGGAAAGCCGTCGAGATCCGACGAATCCGTCCGAAAACCTCGTGCGCATTTTTTGTTCCCAGGCGACAAAAGGGGCGGGGGCCGGTAACGTCAGGCTTCGGGCCTGCGTCGTCTGGGACTGTGGAAGAACAACCGAGGACACCCCAGGGAAAAGCACGCATCGTCAGGGGGAAGAGGGGGCTGCCTGGCCGGTAACAGCCGCTATCGCGACAAATGCAAGACGCTCTCCTCCTCGAACCTCCACCCTCGAACCTTCGGTCCCTCTCAACCGTTGCCCCTCCGCAGGAGCCCTGGCCGGCAGCGCCCTCGCGATCCCCGCCGCGGGCTTGTGTGGAGGGCCCAGGCGGCGGCAGCCCAGTGGTGGACGGGCAGTGCCAAGGGGGGTCGCCGTTAGAGGGGGCTCACCCAGACCTCAACCGTATTGAGAAGTTCAGTGCAGAGGTTTTTTGTCGTTTTCGGTCTCTGGGGGCCCTCGCCGAGCCCCCGGACCGTTAAGAGTCGACTCAGGATGCAGATGCGGCCTTGGGGGGAAAGTGTCTGGACTCTCAGGGACCCCGTATCGAACAAAAACCATTTGTCGGATCTCTGGGCACCAGACCCTGTCGTACAGATACGTGCAGCTTCCAATGCTCTCATCCTGTTGCACTGGCCTTAAGTCGGGCCTGTCCCTCTACATGAGGAAAATCCAAAATTACTCAAAAAGTAGTCTGGGGACGATTTTTTAAATTATTTGTTTGCCCATGTAGGGGGTAGTTTTGGAGTATCTTTTTCGTTCTTCGCCAAACATCCCCCTGTAGGGGGACACGCCCGACTGAAAGCTGGCCCCGAGGGCCCCCCAGGGCAGCAGAAAAGGGGCCTTCGAGGCCAGCCCTCGGGGCCGCTCGGGCGCCCGCCGGAAGTCCGCCGGCGCAGCCACGCTTCGGGGGGCCCCGAAGAGGGCTCGGCCACGCGCAGGGGGTAGGGGGAGGGGGGAGGGGGAGGAGGAGGGGAGGAGGAGGAGAGGTGGAGGAGGAGGAGGAAGGAGGAGGAGGAGGCGGAGGAGGAGGTGAGGAGGAGGAGGTGAGGAGGAGGCGGAGGAAGGAGAGGAGGAGGAGGAGGAGGAGGAGAGGAGGTGGAGGAGGAGGAGGAGGAGGAGGAGGAGGAGGAGGAGGAGAGAGGAGGAGGAGGAGGAGGAGGAGGAGGAGGAGGAGGTGGTGGAGGAGGAGGGGGAATGATGGAGGCGGAGGCGGAGGCGGAGGCGGAGGCGAGGGGAGGAGGAGGGAGGCGAGGAGGAGGAGGAGGAGGAGGAGGAGGGATTACAGGGATTACAGCCTTCGCGTAGCGAAAAAGATCTCTAACACGAGCAGCGCTCGTGGCTCAGTTACACCTTGGGAAACAGGTCGCGAGAGATCCGATCGAGGTACTCACGCCTGGTCCTGGAAATGGGGAGGGTGCAGGGGCTACCGAGGCCCCTGAGCTGGGCCTGGCCGAAGTAGCCACAATCACTGCAGAACCATATTCCAAGACTATGATGAAACGTTAGGGCGTGCGAGGGGTGGGCCCACCCCCCAGCGACATGTACACGGCACCCCCGACGGACCCGAGACACCCTACCATCAACATTTTCAAGCGGCGTGCATTCACTAGAAAGCCAGACATCCCGAGACGCCCGACTCGCAAAGCTTTTACACACAACGCAACTCCTGCCGTCCTCACCGAGCACGTGACTGGTTCCGAAACGGGCAATGGTCGAAGGGGCGGGAGGAGGGAGAGGCGGCGGGGCAGCAACAGGGGTGGCGGCCTCGTACTCGCTGCCCTCGGGCTGCTGCTGCTGCTGCTGCTGCCGCGCCTCGCGCCGCTGCCGCACGTTCTCCGCGGCCAGCTCACGCTCCTTCTGGATGCTGCACAGCGCTGCCCGCAGCAGCCTCCGCCGTACCAGCAGCGCCTTCTGCTCCACGGACTGAACACGAAATCGATCGACCTCCGACACTCGATGGTCTGTGGCGGCCTCCTGCGCCAGTCTGTCTGCAGCCTCATTGCCCTGCACCATCCAGCTCGAGTGATTGTGACGGACCACCTCTTCGGCCTCGAGGTGGGAAGGGATCTGAACAACTGCGATCTCGGTCGGGGAACGAGACTGAAGATGTCGACCAATAAGCCTCCAGATGCCCGCTAGTTGACCAGCGGGGCGGCTGTATGCTCTGGCCCACCATCCTCTGCAGACTTCCTCACAACCTGTGATAAAAATAAGGTGGCCCGTAGCGCATCGGATCGCCAGCTCCAGAGCCACCAGTTCGCCTTTCGCCACTGTCTGCACACCTCCGACTAGCGGTCCGAACAGATGTGGCCCCAGGCGGAAGGGGTCGAATGCTGCGATAACACACACTGCAAGTCCAACACGACGGAGGCGTGGGTCGTGGGTGTCACGACCTCCTGACGCATCTCCAAACACTCGAACAGGGAGGTCGGCCGTGCCATGGCCCAGACATCCTGGCCCTGCTTCAGCCGTGAGTAGGTTCCCGCCTCGCCAGCATTCCTCACCTGCTGGGGGAGGGACTGCGGTCCATGCCGCTGGAATGAGACCACGGTTCCAGAAGCATGCATGCGCCTCTTGGTCTGCCATGGCCTCAGCCGCAAACTGGTCTGAGTCTGCGAAGGCACGAGAATCAGTGTTGCATGCGCAAACCCAGTTGCGATGGAAGTCGGACTCGGGAGCCTCAGAACAACGATCGCACACATTGGAAGCACACAACTGAACCTCATACTTCCCCGCCTTGGTCCAAACACCTGCGACTGAAATAGCAACCATCAACTCTGACAACTGACGGCCACGATCCACAAACTGAAGATTATGTATGAACTTCCGAAGACTCAAAAGATCTGCACCTCCCTCCAGCCCTGCTCCGCAATGCAGCTCGGCAGCGAAACGCCACTGCCGCAGGGCTAGAGACCCTTCAAACTCCCTTAATGAGTCGTCAGCCTGGTCAAGTGAGCAGAGAGCCTCGTCATCAAAGATCCACGAGTGCTGCCCACAATCATTCGGCAAAACCCATTCAGAAGGAGTCTTCGGGTCCCAGCCTGCCTGCAGTAGGTACGCCGCCACAGCGGAGAGTGGGCCGCGGATGTGCCGTGGCCTCTGGCTCTCAGGGATACCTTTGAGATGGGATACCACCTGTGGCCATACGCGGTAGACGCCCGCCCTGAGAGAGGGCCCGGTAATCCAAACTTGAAGCCACTGAGCCAGGCACTGCCGTGGAAGAAGTACACCTGGATCAGCTGTGGGGGCTCGAACCCCCAGCAAGGTAGTGGTGCAGCGGCCGCGGCGTACCCTGCCAGATGCGGCTGCCAAGCTCCGACGCTGCTGCTGCATAGCCGTGCCGAACACCCCGTAGATCTGGTGCCCGTGCATGGCGGCTGCCTGCGGTCCCGCACGTCCCACACGTGCCGTAACCCAGAAGCGCCGTGACGCGGCCGCGAAGCGTCGCAGCCGTCCGTGCTGGGCTCGAGCCTTGACCACGCGCCTGCGGGCGGTGGCACGAGCTCCTCGCTTGCCTGCACCCTGGTCAACTCCCAGGTAGGCCGCCTGAAGCTCCGCCTTGAGAACGATGCCCTTTGCTTTGAGTGCCCGAGCGACTGCCTTGGCGTCGGCGTGATGAGAACACACGACGACGCTCTTAGCAGCTATACCCAAAGAAACACGACTGAACTCCTCAACTGTGTCTGCAACACCAGCAATCAAAGTCGTCCGTACCTGATGCCGAGAGCCAACAACTTTCTGGGCCAGATCGTCGATCCATATGCGTTCTGTCATATTGGGGTGAGCCGTGCGCAACTTTTCTAGGACAAAGTATGTGAGACACCGTCCGAATCTGGTGCCGCTCCTCAGCCCCTGGACCACGCTGCGGGTGGGTTGGAAAGGGAGTGAGAAAGACTGGAACTGGGAGACAACACGCGGGGCTGCGCAGATCTGCATCTCCAGAAATAGGATATCAGGAGGGAAGCTGAGCCTCGCTGCCGTGTCTGCCAGAACTTCAAACTCTATACTGTCGTAAAAGGAAGCGGCGTCCAGTAGCGCCTCGCCGTGTGCCACCCCCATGCGGGAGTGCACTTCAGAGTTGAGGCTCCTGAGAAAGGCCTCCCGCAGCGCGCTGTTGCCAGCGACTGCAGCGTCCCAGTGTGGGGCTGAGTCTGATGACCATTGTCGCATCTGCTCTTCGCGAGCCATACTCCAAACTCGACAAAGCATGGTGACTAACCCGATAGCTCTGTCGCCTCCTCCTTTCTTGGCGAGGAGGCGGCCAATGACGATGAGCAGCTGCCAGGGCCAGGACATGCCCTGCTCCACCATGAGGAAAAGCTGGCACGAGCCGTCGAGGCCCTCGTCGGGCAGCCGCTCCAGGTCCACTGGTGGCAACTGGTCGGCGCCCAGGCCAGCCCGCGCTTTCATGCGCCGAAGCGCATGCCGCAGGTCGGCCACTGACAACGGGACCAGCTCCTCGACCATACCCAACTGGCGGATACGGTCCATGGTGGCCAAATACTTGGTGTACGTGAGCTCCGTAGACTTCCAGAGCTTGTGCCAGCGAAGAACCTTGCGATCCACGATCTCGATAGGGTGTACAGCGCACCCTCCTTCGAAATGCAGCTCATCCGAGGCGAGCGGGTCCCGCTTGATGCTCCTGTGGACTATGCCCAGAGCGCCTTGCGAGCCAATCCACTCCTGGAGCTCCTGCAGAGACTGCCGCGTGGCTCTCGCACGGCCTCGCCGTGCGCCTCGGTCTGCAAGAGCGGCGGCAGCCGTGGGCGCTGGGGGCTCCATGAACTCGAGCTGCCGCATGGCAGCGAGCCAGTCGGTCCAGACGCCGCCACCTGCTGGGAACAAGGACTGAACACCTGCAGGGACGTCGAGTGCAAGCCTCCGTGCGTCTGCCGCCAGCTGCTGAACCTGAATCGTGCCGTTGCGCCGTCGCCGATGCCGTTCGATACGTTGAACGAGAGTGTGAATGCGGGCCCGCCAAGACGCTGCCACGTCCCGCATGGGCTGATCGCGAATGCGGGCTGCAGCATGGACTGGTCCCACCTCTTGAGAAGGCCCTGCAGCCCTGGAGCGAGCTGGTGCATCAAGATGATGGTGTTCACTGAGGCATCGTTCCGCCACTGACACCCATGCAGCGAAACGACCACTGATAGCCAGGATGTGGGGCCCGCCAGCTGCATACGCGAGCGATGAGCGAATCGCTGGCCAGACGTCTTGAAGAGAGTGTGACAACCAACCAACCTGGTTCTGATGTTTGAGCCGAAGTGCTGACGGAAGAGCAAAAGACGGGGAAGAAGCAGCAGGCGCAGCAGCAGTCGGAGTGGGACGGGCGTCCGAAACGTCC